ATCATCCTCCGCTTCCTCCCCCCACTCCTAGCCCTTTCGATCAGGGTCGGCGGCACCGGCCGTCAGGCCTCTCCAATAGTGCAAAAAACCCGCGCCACGATTTTCTTTTTTATACCTCGAGGGAGTCTGGGTATACCTTGTCCTCCTCGGAGCACCGGGGCGCGTCGTCGGCCGCCCCGAGCAGGCCGGCCCACTCGGCGACGGCGCCCGCCAGCACCTCGGAGCAGCGTTTCACCGACCCCCATCCCCACGGGCGTGGCCTGGGCCCCACTGGCCGATGTACCCCACTAAATGGGAATATATATTCTCATACGCACCTCTCCGAGGGAGTAGAGCTCAGAGGCGATTAATGCGCACGCGTCCGCGATTTTTCTGGGCGTTTCGCTCGGGACATCCTCGAAATTCTGAAAATCGGTGGCACCCCTCACGCAGATCGCGACGTCAGGGTCCAAAAACACATGGGAAATTCAACATTTTAACATAAAACCTTCAAAAACACATGGTAATTTCAATAATTGTGACCCCGATTCTCAGTCAATGGCGGTTTCGCTTGAAAAATCCTTCCAAAATCGAGCCCCAGACCCCGCCTCGGAGCCTCCTGGGGGCCTCCTGGAACCTCCTGGAGCCTCCTGGGCCTTCTGAACCTTCTGGCACCCCAGACCCCGCCTCGGAGCCTCCTGGGGGTGTCCTGCAACCTCCTGGGGCCTCCTGGGGCCTCCTGCGGCCTCCTGGAGCCTCTTGGGGCCTCCTGAAGCCTCCTGGGGTCTCCTGGGGCCTCCTGAGGCCGCCTGGGGCCTCCTGGGGCTTCAGAACTACATGCACACAGAGACACAAATCACGCCCAACACATCACACGCTAAACAAACATAACACACACACACACACACACACACACACACACACACAGCACCTACAACACACAAAAAGCACGCACCAGACGAAGCATACATCACAAACACACACACACACACACACACACACACACACACACACACACGCACAACACTCACAATCCTGGGGCCTCCTGGAGCCTCTTCTCATCGCAAGGTGTGGCAACCCCACTTGCGCTCGAGTGCGACTTCGATGTTGCATTTCACTCCTGCTTCAAACGCCCCTTCAGTTTTTTGTATGAGCCTGGGCACACACGTGCCACTTGTGTGTACATATATATGTATATATATATACATATATATACACAATATACATATATATATATATATATATACATACACACCTATATATACATATACATATATATATATATGTATGTGCCGTTTCCTTCGGGGTTTCGAAGGGCGTATTCCCAACTGGTGTGGCGGGATGGTGGGGCAAGAGGATGGGGATGGGGATGGGGATAGGGATGGGTGAAAGGATACTGTACCTCGGGCGCGCCACGAGTGGGCTCCGTATGTGCTTTTTCACTGATCCCCGACCCCCCCCCCCCACCCGGAAATGGAGGGCAGATTGAGGCATTCGGGATGGGCTGGGGTGGTTTTTTGGAGTCCCGAAACGGTGCGGTGACAGACCATGCCCAGAGGCCGAAAGCTGGGAGCAGAAAAAGTCCCCCGCCGCGAGCCCCCCACGACGCGAGGCGAGGAGCCCGGGGCGGCGCGCGCCAGCCGAGGCCTCCAGCGTAAGGAGCCCAGGGACACACAAATGAACAGGCATAAACCCCAGGATTCCCCTATACGCTTGCCGCACGTTCTGGGTCTGCGTCTCCCTCCCCCCTTCCCAGCCATTTCCCTCCCCGTTTGGGGTCCCCCGAGGTTTGGTGGGCGGCGAGCCTCGGGCGCGCCGGAGGCCGCGCGGCCCTCCAGCTCGGAGCGCAGCGCCTCGGCGCTGGGCGCGTCCCTCAGCCGCGCGAGCTTCTCGCCGACCTGCCGGGCGGCGCCGCCCAGTAGCCGCGCCGCCTAGCGGCGGAGGAGGAGGAGGAGGAGGGAGGAGGAGGAGGGGGGAGGAGGAGGAGGAGGAGAAGGAGGAGGAGGAGGAGGAGGAGGAGGAGGAGGAGGAGGAGGAGGAGGAGGAGAGGAGGAGGAGGAGGAGGAGGAGGAGGAGGAGGAGGAGGAGGAGGAGGAGGCGGAGGAGGAGGAGGAGGAGGAGGAGGAGGAGGAGGAGGAGGAGGAGGAGGAGGAGGAGGAGGAGAGGAGGAGCAGGAGGAGGGAGGAGGAGGAGGAGGAGGAGGAGGAGGAGGAGGAGGAGGAGGAGGAGGAGGAGGAGGAGGAGGAGGAGGGGGAGGAGGGGAGGAGGGGGAGGAGGGAGGAGGAGGAGGAGGAGGAGGAGGAGGAGGAGGAGGAGGAGGAGGAGGAGGAGGAGGAGGAGGAGGAGGAGGAGGGTGTATACATGTCTTCGCTGCTCCCCGCGGGAAACGGACAAAAGAATACACCGCACCACTCCGACGTCGCCCCCGACCCTCAAAAGGTCCTGGGATTGAAGAGAACGGCCCGCCACTGGTAATGGATGTGTTCAAGGTTTCGATTTTTCCTTCCCTGAGATACTGGCGTTGCCATTTGTTCACCCTCCGGGCGTTTTCGCCCCCTTTCGGGCCCTGGGGCCCTCACCGATCGATGCGGCTCGAAGGATGTCGCAGGAAGACGGGGTCCGGGGCTCTGGTCTCGTGATTGTTTGCGATGTTGCGTCTCTGTTTTGTAACGTCGGATCTCAGGGTTACTTGGCGGCGCGCGGAAGGGGGCAGGGGGAGGGGGGACGGCTGCTTAGAAGGAGGCCGCTTCTCAGAAGGCGCTGGCCTTACATCCCCAGATACGGCCCGCGCCTTCCGAGAGGCAGGAGTGCTTTGCAGAAGCCTTCACCCCTCCCCCTACCCTCCTCCGCGCGAGGCCGAGCTACGCGTGGTGTGTGCTCTTCTGGCGTCCGATGCTTACGTGTGCTCGTGACGTCGTCGAAGGCGCGAGGCGGGATCCCCATGGACCACCAGGACCCCTGGGGGCCTGGCGGCCGCGGTGTGCGAGGTGGGTGTGCGATGCAGGAGGAGGAGGAGGAGGAGGAGGAGGAGGAGGAGGAGGAGGAGGAGGAGGAGGAGGAGGAGGAGGAGGAGGAGGGGGGGAGAGCGTGGCGAGGCCCGAAAAAGGAACCTGGACTTCGCGCAGGTCGGGAGCATACCCCCAACGCCTCTCCGGCCCAGCGCTGTCTGAGAAGGCAGCGGAGAGGGGAGGGGGTGAGGAGGAAACGCACGGAAGCTGTTCGTCGTCCCCGTGGCGCCCAGTATCGCGCCCAATCATGCGCAGAGCGGACATGGCGCACCTCCCTCACATGGCGCTGTTGGGCGCTATTGGTCGCTACTTGGCGCTGTTTGAGCGATATATCGAGAGCGCCATTGGGCGCCAATGGGTGCGGTGCGCGGGCTATGGGGAGCTGCTTGACAATATTCACCGACACACGCTCAATAGAAGGCGAGCGGAAACTTCCAAGACTCACTGACGAAGTACACTCGCCCGAGTCGAGTGATGAACGAACAGCACACACCCATATCTACGGTCAACCCGCATAGTAAGGATGGGCAACCTTCCAAAGGTTCCCCTTGCATCCTTGCCCCTTCGGCCCATCGTTAGCGACTCTCGCTGGCCAACCTCGTTCGAAAAACTCCAACGTGGCCCTCCACGGCCCTTGCATCCTTACCGCGCATCCTTATGGTACGGGTCGACTGTACAAAGGGGGGTCGGAGGGAGAAGAACTGGCTACTGGCATGGGCGCAGGCTGTCGGACCCCAGGCTTGGCCTCCCGCCCTTGCGGGGAGCACCATCCGACAAAGCGCACCCACAGCTCCCTCCGTCCCCTGCCCGGGTCTGGGCGCGGGTTGCTCGCTCAAAACTGGAAGAGGAAGAAAAAGGGGACCATGACCAAGACTGAACGCGGAAACGTCGTGTCAATCTTGGTCACCGCCCATCTCGGTCAGCGCTTACATCGTGGATCATCCTCGAGAGCCGGCCACGGCCACCATGGACCATGACCAAGATCGGCATCGACAGGATCCCGCGAAATCTTGGCCATGGTCCCCGTGCTTCCTGGCTCGGACAAGAGCGCGTTTCTTTATTTTCGGCGATGATCGGCATTATAGGGGGGGGAGGGGGCCGGAGGGGGGGTATAATGCAACGCCTCCCCCCCGCCGTGTGCCCGATGCGCACGGCGGCAGTGCCCCGGAGCGCACTGAGGGGGAGGGGCGTTACGTCATAGGGGGGGAGGAGGGGGGAAGGGGGCTATAATGCCCACTACGCCCCAAGCAATACAGAAACACGCTCAAAATCCAAAAAGGAAAAGGTAAAGGGCCCTCCTTGAAGGCGAGGAACTCCCTGCCCTGCCCCGGCCCCGGCGACAGCGGCTCGGGGCTGGGCCGGCTCGGGCGCGCGCCCCGCCGCGTCGGCGAGGCGGGCTCGGGGCTCGCCCGGCGGCTGGAGCGCCCGTCGCGGCGGAAGAGGCCGAACATGGGCCAGGCGCGCGCGGCCGGAGGCTCATCGGGGGCGGCCACCACGGAAGGGCAAAAAGAGAGATGGAATGCAGCGGAGGCCAGTTCACAAGAAACCTTCCACGAGGAACCCAACCCTGAGACACCAGGACGCCCCTTGATTTTTGGTGTGGGGATGTCGCGCTTTCCACGGCAAAATCATCGAACCCCAAGAAACCCAGGGCACCCTGGAGGCAAGCGGGGTGTTTCTTGGCATGGACCTCCACAGTAAGACTTTCTTAGACGCCTCCTATATGGGGTCCGAGTAGAGGGGGTCGAAGGATCGCGCCGCACCGCCAAGGCATCGCCGATGTACTGGCGCCGCGTCGGCGATGCATCGGCGACGCATCGGCGACGTCGGTGTTGGGAGAAAATCGGGCTCCACATCGAGCCGCGTCGTCGATGCATCCGCGATGAGATGTGACCTTCCGACCCCATCTGCTCGGAAGCTAGGAGGCCTCGATTGCTGGATCAGAAGACAAACGGCACCACCCCACCTACGGCCCCACTCGGCGGCGAGCGAGGGGGGGAAGTGAAAAGGAGAAGGCCTTCTCAGAAGGCGGCGAGACTTCTCAGAAGCCCTCGCGCCCTCTGAGAAGTTTTTCTGTGTTCGGGGAAGGCTTAGAAAACTTCTCAGAAGGCCCGGGGACTTCCGAGCCTTCTGAGAAGGCCCGCCCCTTCTCACTTCCCCCCCTCGCTCGCCGTCGACCCACGGGCCTTGGCATGTACCAGGAATTCTGGCTTGGGCCCTCCGCGCGGCATGCGCTCCGGCGCCCGATGGGCCGCAGCGCAACGTGGAGGGCCCCGGGTGGGGTGGGTGTCTATTGTTTTGCTGGTCGGCTGCCGGTGCTCCGATCGGACTTCTTGGGTCGGCCTGGACCCTCCCGGCGGCGCCTCCGCGCGCCAGGGAAGGAAGGGGGGGGGGCGTCCAGCGCCGACCGAAGACGTCCGCGCGTACCTGCAGAACGTATGCTTGCGCGGCTTCTTGCCCTTCGACACCAGAGGCCCGCCCGCGCGCCGCCGTGGGCCCCGGCGTCTTGGGCAAGCGCGCGCGCGCGCATCGACATCTCGCGGCCAGTCCCGCCAGACCTCTGGGCGTGGGTGGCTCAACGAGCTGGCTCCTCCAGCTCCCTTTGCCCCCTCCCCCTGCCCCTGGGTGTGGACGAAGGGGGGGGGCGCGGGCGGTCAGCGAGTCCAACATGCTCAAAGATACGCGGGCGATTTACGCGCGAATGCCCGCGTGGGCGAGCCCCTTCTTTGCGTCGCTCGCGTTGGCTCTGGAATCGAAATAATGCTGGCACGCTTTTCCACGTTAGGGCACGTTCAGCGGGAACCCAGCACCATGGGCACGCGTGCAGAAAACGCGTTGCTGCGTGAGTCAATACGCGCGTCAGTCAAGTTCACAAACCCGATGTTCCCCACCACTTGTTCGAAGCACGACATCCGATCGCGGCGGCGACACTCCATGCAGATAGCTCTCCCGCGTTGGGCATTGATTACAACAAGTGTGGTCCAATTCGGATTGGGCGACATGTTCACTTCGTCCCAACAAAAAACCATGTTTCTTACTCGCCCTGCATAGTGACCAATCGGACCGACAGGTGGTTCCAAAGTGTGACGGCAGCTTCCTTGTCTAGAGTAGAGACACACCCGCACGATCTACGAGGATAAGAGACGGGGGAAGATAAGAGGGAGAGGAGGTGAAGGAGGAGAGGCAGGATGGGTCCGTAGCCATTTGGGCTCAAGCCATCCCCCGCACTCGCCAGTGCACGCGCCGCGAGCCTGGTGGGCCAGCCCCAGCCCCCCAACCGCGGCCGCGGTCAGGGGGCGCTGCCATGGCATCGGGGGGCTGCCCAACGTCAGGGCGGCCCTACATCTCCAGCAGACGAGTCTACGAAACTGCCTGTGGCGCTATACCTGCACGCCGACTCGCCCGTCAACGGTGCCGCAATGCTTGCGAGGCGCGGGTGCGGTCTGGCAAGCTCGACACCACGTGCGCCAGGAAGGATGATCCTACGACGGCGGAGTGCAATGAGGCGAAGCCCCACGCTTAGGCCGACGCCACCTTCAGAGCCTCCTGCGCCAGAGGTGAAGAACATCGTCATAGAGGTACCGGCCCGAGACCAATACGATTTCCCGCATGGCACTTGCAACAGCGAGCACGACCAGTGCGACCAGTACGGAGAGGAATACAGCCTCAACGGGGGTGCATGCTACTACGAGATTGGTTCGGCCTTGCGGATGTTCGACGGAGATCAACCTGCTGAGCTTCGAGGGCCGCCAGCGCAGCTACGGTAGCACGAAACAGAGCTGCGAGAGCCACCAAGCGAGGAAGAACGGGACTGGCCCTCGCTGGTCCCATCTCCCTCGGGTTCTTACTCCTCCTCTCCTCGCGGAGTGCCACGACCTGGCAGCCGACGACTCCGACTCGGACCGCGGGGAGGCGAAGGAGGCGGACGAGGAGAGCACCGCCGAAAGGCAGAGCCCGACGCCTTCGCGATGGCCGCGCCGTCGCGCGGGGCTCCTCCTCGCCAGGCACCGTGCCATCGCAAGCCGCACCTGCTGGCTGCGGGGGCCACCAGCGGAACCACGAGGGCCACTGTCCCGCCGTCGTCGTCGTCGTCGTCGTCGTCGTCGTCGTCGTCGTCGTCGTCGTCGTCGTCGTCGTCGTCGTCGTCGCCGCCGTCGTCGTCGTCGTCGTCGTCGTCGTCGTCGTCGTCGTCGTCGTCGTCGTCGTCGTCGTCGTCGTCCCTCGTCGTCGTCGTCGTCCCTCGTCGTCGTCGTCGCGGTCGTCGTCGCCGCCGCTGCTGAGCTGCGAGAGCCACCGGCTCGGCTGCGAGGGCCCCACGCCGAGCTGCAAGGAGGACCACGGGCGGCGGAGCTGCGGGGGCCGCGGGCAGAGCTGCGAGGGCCGCCGGCCGAGCTCCACGAGGGCCACGGCCTGAGCTGCGCGGCCACAGGCTGCCACGAGCAGAGCTACGCGAGAGCCCCCCCCCCCCCGCAGATATATATACAAGGGCGACGAGCTGGACTGCAGGGGCCGTGCGCAGAGCTTCGAGAGTCACCAGCTGAGCTACGGGCGCCGCAAGCTGAGCTACGAGGGCCACCGGGTGAGCTACGAGGGTCGCGAGCGGAGCTACGAGGGCTACGAGGACCGCCAGCTGAGCTACGAGTCACAAGCTGAGATAGCAGGGCCACCCGCTGAGCTACAAGAGCCACCAGCAAAGCCACGAGGGCCACCAACTGAGCTACGAGAGCCACGGGCTGAACTGTGAGGACAGCAAGCAGGGCTACGAGCTCCACCTGCTGAGCTACGAGAGCCACCCGCAGAGCTACGAGGGCCACCAGCTGAGCTACGAGGACCACCGGCTGAGCTACGAGGGCCACAGGCAAGCAGGGCAAAGAGGACCACGGGCTGAGCTACGAGAGCCAGCAGCAGAGCCCACCAGGGCCACCTTCTGAGCTACTCGGGCATCCAGCAGGCCTGGAAGAGCAAAAACTTGCTGAGCTACAAGGACCACACGCACGGCTACGAGGGCCACAAGCAGGGCTACGAGGACCCCCAACTGAGCAACGAGAGGCACCAGGTGAGGCACCAGGGCCACCAGTGGAGCTACAAGAGCCAACAGCAGGGCTACGAGAGCCATGGGCTGAGCTGCGAGGACCACGGGCTGAACCACGAGGGCCACAGGCAGGGCTATGAGGGCCCCCAGCTGAGCCACGAGAGCGTCCAGCGGAGCTTCGAGAACCACCAGCCGAGCTCCGAGGGCCACAGAAACAGTTCCGAGTCATCCGCTGAGCCACGGGCGCCACAAGCTGAGCTACGAGAGCACCAGCTGAGCTACGAGGGCCGCGAGCTGGGCTACGAGGGCCACTGGCAGGGCTACGAGGACCGCCAGCTGAGCTACGAGGGCCACCAGCTGAGGCAGAACGGCCACCTGCTGAGCTACAAGAGCCACCAGCAGAGCTACCGGGGTCTCTGGCCGAGCTGCGAGAACCACAAGCTGCGTTCCGGAGGCCCCAGGCGGGAATGCGAGGACCACAGGCTGAGCTACGGGCACCGCAAGCTGAGCTACGAGAGCCACCAGCTGAGCTACAAGATCTTCCGGCAGACCCGCGAGGGCCACCAACTGCACTGGGAGGACCACAATAGAGGTCAAAAAATCCACCACCATTAGAACCACCCCGACACGCGAAGTCGTATGGTTGACGCGCCCAAAGAAGGAATCGAACAGGGCAGGGCGGTTCAGCATGAACGCCCAGGAGCCGCTTCGCAAACGCCGATGATCGGGCCCCGGTGGCTCTTCCTCCCTTGATCACGAGCTCGGCGACGAGAGCCACGAGCTCGGCAGGTAAAACAGGGCCAGGATCGGGATAAATCGCTCCAGAGCGTTCCGGAGCGCTCTCAGAGCGTTCCGGAACGCTCTGGAGCGGCCGCGGCGCCCAACCCATCCTCCAAACCCACCGATCCTCAGAGATTTCGAGCTATCCCGATCAAATTTTGTCCCGATCTTCGCGTCGTTTTCGCAGGGCGACGAGGGCCACGAGCTCGGCGCCGAGGGCCACGAGCGCGGCGGGGCCGCGAGGGCCTCCGGCGGAGCCGCGACGCCCGCCGAGAAGGGGCGCGCCGGGCCGCGGGAGCCCAGCCCTGCGGGGGGGGGGGGCGGAGGTCCGCCTGCCCTGCCTCCCCCGGGGGCGGGGGCCAGCGCGCGCTGGGCCCTTGCGAAGAGGGGCTCGGCTGTCAGGTCGGGCATGTCCTCCTACAGGCAGATGCTTGACGAAAAGAATCGTCCCCATACGTCCCCATACGATTTGTTTACGATACGATTCCCATAAATTCGTCCCCATACGATTTTTTACGTTACGATACGATACGATTCCCATACGATGCGAAGGGAAAACCAAAAAAGAAAAAAAAAAAAAAAAAAAAACGTCCCCATACGATTTGTTTTACGATTTGTGAATACTCCTCCAGTAGAGGGGCACGCCCGACTTAACGCTGGACACTTCCGGAGAGGGGCTCTGCTGCCACGAGGCGGCCCCGAAGACGCAGTGGTCCCCCCCAGCCTCGGACAGGGGAGGCCGCCCAACGTTCAGGTCGGGCATGTCCTCCTACAGGCGGATTTTGGAAGAAAGATGAAACATAATCCAAGCAGATTCAACTGTAGCCAAAAATAACCGAAAGATCGTTTACAGGCTACTTGATGACTATCTTTGAATACTCCTCCTGTAGAGGGACATGCCCGATCTAACTCTGCTGCCACGAGGTGGCCCCGAAAACGCAGAGGTCCCCCCCAGCCTCGGACGGGGGACCCCACAACGTTTCAGTCGGGCACGCCCCTCTAGTTACAGGAGGCATATTCAAAAATGGTCCACGAATGGTCTGGGGAGGATTCTTCGACTCTCTTCGACTAGTTGTGAATATTTATGTGACTATGCTAAAGTCTTCATCCAAACTCCGCCTGCAGGAGGGCACGCCCGACCTAACACGACGTCCTGCGGGCAGGCTGGATCTCCTCGCTGGACCAGCATGGGCAGCGACATACTACCACGAAGCAGGCCGCGAGCACGTCGAAGCCGCAGTGGGCGCCACCACCCCCAGGGGGCCAACGGCGCCGCAGACACCTCCAGGAGACGGGCCAGTGAAGCGCAACCCTCGGCTCTGGCCGCGCCGTGAGCAAGGTGGACATCCGGGGTGCGCATGAGCTGTGCCGACATCTACGGTCGGACCAGGGCCAGAAGAACACCCTGCAGAAGAACACGAGGCCCTCCGCCGGCCAGAACACACAGAACACCCCGGGGCAGCCCCTCCCGGGGCGCACACGAGAACACCCGCGACCAGCACGAAGAGCATTCTACGCTACCCTCCCCGTGCAGAGCTCGATCTCATGCCGCTGCCCGACCGTGCCGTCTCGGGGTGGCGCCGCGCGACACGAATCTCCGAACCGGCACCGCCGAACCGGCACGACACGGCATCGCGAACCGGCTGAACCGAGCGAACCGGCGAAGCCGCCGACGCGTGCCTGGAGAAGCTCTCCAGAAGGTCCTTCAGAAGCTTTCTCCGGGTCCTGCCGGAATTCGTCGCCAGGCCTTTCCACGCCCTTCGGGCGCCCTGCTATCCGGGTTTTGGCCCACACCGGCTGGGCCGGGCCCCGACCGAACCGCCTGAGCCAGCGAACTGGCGAACCAGCGGCCCGCGCCGTGCCCATGAGAGGGCGCCGCGCCGGCCAAGGGGCGACCCGCGCCGTGCCCAGAGGAAGGGAGCAAGTGCCTCCCCTCCTCCCTGCTGTGCCTCGGGATGTACCGCGACACGCGACGGCCTCATTTTGTCAGGACGGCGTCCCCGGCAGCCCCGACCCCTTCCCTGGGGCCCGCTTCGTCCTCCTGAGTCGTCCTTTGACGCTCCCGGGGCCCGGCGAGGGCCCCCCAGGGGCCGAAACCAGCGAAAGGCTTGCCGTCCTGAGGTGCTCACGACGCGAGCAGGTCCGGGCATAGACCACGAGGGGCAGGGCCCGGGCTCCCCCCCCGCGAGCCACCGCAAGGGAGACGGCGTGCCCGGGGCGCGCCGGGGGGCGCCCCGCGGCCGCGCCACGGCGGGCGCCCCTCTTGGGGGGCGCCCCGCGAGCGTGCGACGCGGCGGGGTGCGCGATCGCCGCGCGGCGCCGCGAGAGAGAGGACGAGGGAGAGGGAGGCAGGCGGAGGCACGAGGAGAAAGAAGGAGACAGAGAGATAGCAAGACAAACGTTTTTCAAGCTTGACTGAGATTTCTTCTCAAACCCACCCAAAAAAAAACGAGGACGAGAGAAAGGTGGCCGGAACGGATCAGGAAGCGAGGCGAGCAAGGGGGTGGCAGGGCGGAGGACGAGGACGAAGAGGGCGAGGGCTCAGACGAGGAGCGCAACGACGAGAGCGGCCAGGACGGCGCACCAAAGAGAAGCGGGGAGGTAAAACAGGGCTAGGATCGGGATAAATCGCTCCAGAGCGTTCCGGAGCGCTCTCAGAGCGTTCCGGAATGCTCTGGGAGGGCCGCGGCGCCCAACACATCCTCCAAACCCGCCGATTCTCAGAGATTTCGAGTTATCCCGATCAAATTTTGTCCCGATCTTCGCGTCGTTTTGAGGCGGCAGGGCACGGGAAGAAGAGCGGCCACGCACGGCACGGGCAGGCCGGGCCGGGTCTCCAGGCCTCGCAGCCGGCCGCTGGCCTAAGACCACCCCCCTCCACCGCCCATGCCCACGTGCTGGAGATCGGCGGCGCGCGCGGGGGGGGAGAAGAAGGCCTGCTCAGAAGGCGGCGGGACTTCTCAGAAGCCCTCTCCTCCTCCTCCTCCTCCTCCTCCTCCTCCTCCTCCTCCTCCTCCTCCTCCTCCTCCTCCTCCTCCTCCTTCTCAGAGGGCGGCGGGACTTCTCAGAAGCCCTCGCGCCTTCTGAGAAGCTCTCCGCGCCTTCGGGGAGGGCTCAGCAGACTTCTCGGAAGGCCAGGGGGGGGGGGCTCCCGAGCCCTCTGAGAAGGCCTCCTGCTTCTCACTTTAGAGGCCTCCTAGATGGGGTCGAGGTAGATGGGGTCGAAAAGTCGCGCCGCATCGGCGACGCACCAGCGAAGCACCGCCGACGCACCGGCGACGTCGGCGGTGCATCGGCGACGTCGGCGATGCATCGGCGACGTCGGCGTGGGGAACCACGGGCTCCACATCGAGCCGCCTCGCCGATGCATCGGCGACGCGGCGCGATCCTCCGACCCCGATCTGCTCCGACCGACCCCGTCTGGAAAGCTCACTGGATCACTTTCCCCCCCCGGGCGTGCCGCCGAAGAGAGGCACCCGCTGGCCACGCGCACCGCGCGGCCGCGCCCGCGCTCCGCGCGCGCGCGCGATGCCCCGCGCACCGCGGGAGCCCCCCGGGGGGGGGGGGGGCAGGACCGCGGAGGGGCAGGCCCGCGGGGGGCAGGCCCGCGGAGGGGGCGAGCGGCGGGAGCACCTGCCAGCCCACCCCGACCCGACCGGAGAGGGCCCGAATCTTTCGGGTTGGGGGGGGTACAGGCTTCACATGTGTTGGGGGTTCGGGTACCCCCCCAACCCGAATCTTTCGGGTTTGGGGGGGTACGGGCTCAGAAGAAGAAGAAGACGAAGAAGAAGAAGAATAATAAAAAATATAGGAAGAAGAGGAATAATAATAATAATAATGATAATAATAATAATAATAATAATTATAATAATAATCATAATAATAATAATAATCATAATGACAATAATAATAATAATAATGATAATAAAAATAATAATAATGATAATAAAAAAATAATAATAATAATAATAATAATAATACAAAGAAGACAAAGAAGAAGACACAGAAGGAGAAGAAGAAGGAGGAAGGCAAACAAAACAAATATACACACATGAATTGTTTGGCGCTCCGCGCGGCCTTCTTGGATCCGCGCTGGACCCCTGGCGCGCGGAACGCGCCAGGGGCGGCGCCGGAAGCGCCGCCGGGGTGGTGGCCCAGCGCGGATCCAAGAAACCCGCACGGAGCGCTACGAAGCTTATGTTTATGACGTCTTTGCTTCGTCGATGTTTCAATGTTCCTCGACATCTTTCCTAGCCGCCCCTCTAGAGGGCAGAAAATCCACCCCGATAATAACCACCCCGACACGCGAGGCCTTTAACAAACGCGCCCAAGGAAGGAATCGAACAGGGCAGGGCTGTTCAGTAAACGCCCAGGGCCGTTTAGTAAACGCCAATTGTCCGGTCCGGGTGGTGTTTCCTCCCTTGACCCTCGGCTAGCAACCATCATCTCTGAATAACCTAATTCGTGTCCACACCGCCTCCGAAAGGTATTCCGTGACAAACGCATCTTGCCGTTGCAATGCCTATTCGCGTGAAGCCTTGTTCGATTGACCAACACATCTGTCGGATCACATCGGGCATACAAGCGTTCCTTGGCTGATTGTTGCGGAAAAAATGTTTCTCGACACTCCCCCACCAGAAATGGAAAGCAAATCGGGGCCTCCGAGTTTGAAAGGGCCCTGGGACACACAAATAAATACATACAAGTAACCCGATCCCCCATGTGTTCCCATATTTTCTTGGTTTTTGTCCTCTCCCCCACTTCCCATAGTTTCCCATAGTTTCCCATAGCTTCTGGGGAATCCACGATTAATTGTGTTTGTGTGTTGTTTTTCCTCCTGAGAGTTGGGTTGGGGTGGTTGCTGGTGGGCAGCCCACGCGGCGGACCGCGCACGCAGTGGCGGTGCCCCCGAAGCGCCGCGCGGCGCCCCTGGGCGGGCCTCTTGCCGCGGGCGGCAAAACGGTTGGCGGCCCGCGCAAGGAGGACGCACACGACGAGAAAGGGGACACAAAGATTATGTTGCTCCCATCGCACGTAAGAACCACGTCCCAGAAATAATTTCGCGCACCCGGAAAAGTGTCGACAGAGTGTCGAAAGAGTGTCGAAACAGTGTCGGGCGAGTGTCTCCCAGGGCCCGACACGTGAAAACCCTCGAGTTTCGGTATATGTTCTGATGCTCGAAATTCTTTCTGGTGGTCAAAGCTAAAGTCGGCTGGAACATCATAGCCCAAGGACACACTTGTAGCGTCGGCGGCTAGGCAGAGGGTGGCTGCGCTGGCGATGAGAGGCTTGCACGGGGATGTCGTTATGGCGAAGCGTGCCATCATTTAAGATGAGGAGGAGGAGGAGGAGGAGGAGGAGGAGGAGGAGGAGGAGGAGGGCGCGGCCGAAAGGGAGAGCGGAAGAAGCGAGCCCCTCAGGGGGACGGGTCACGCCCCGAGCGTGTGGCGCGGCCAGCCCCGCCGGCGGGCCCGCGGTGGCTGCTGCGTCGGCGGGCCAGGCGGCGGCGGGGCCCAGTACAGGGGGGTCCAGGGACACACAAATGAGTAGACACAAAGACCAGGATTCCCAATATTCCCATGTTTCTGGGTTTTCGTTTTCCTCCCCACTTCCCGTTATCTGTTTTACCATATGGGCGACGATGAAAAACGGCGCTCACGCGAGACGACATGGAGACCTTACGCGGCGGTTTACGCAGGCCGCCAGCGCGGCACGCCACATTGGAGACGAGAGCGCTTGCGCGCGAGCTGACGCGGGCAGCTCACGCGCCAGCGGCGGTGAAGACGACCCCGATTTTCTACGTCGCTCATATTTGCGTGGGAGACGACGACTAACTTCAGGTCGGGCCTGTCCCCTTATAGGGGGAGTTTGGACAAACATAAAAAATAGACAAACATACCAAACATACTAAAATTGGGGGAGGGGGAAAGAAACAAAAAAACGTCCCAAAACTGCGTATTTTTGAGCACTCCCCCTGTAGAGGAACAGGCCCGACTTGAGACTAATTGTCTCTACGTGTTGTTCTCCCTCCTGAGATGAGGACGCCAGGGCCTCGGGAGGCCATGTCGACACTCCGCGAGCGGGGGGCGCGGCCAGCGAGAGCGGCCGAGGACGGGCCGAAGGGGCACGATGCCAGGGCTGCCATCCTTACTGCGCGGGTAGACTGGACAGCAGCACACCTGGTGAAACTGGGCCACTCGC